GCTCCCCAGGGAATATGTTTATCAATATTCCAGTTCTCTTCATAGCTATGTATGGCTTTGTCAGTTCTGAATTTGTCTAAAGCCTTTGAGCATCTATTAATACTTCCTGTACTGCTTCTCAACAGCCACTAAACTCTAATGCCCCCACTCCTCGTAGCCTCTGAGGTCCCCTCTGCCTCCCTTCAGCTCTGGGCCCCTCTTGTAGCTTCAGCACCAGATTGGGCTGTGGCTCTTTCTGCACGTCCCCATGACAACACTATAAACTGTTTGCTCATCATGCCTCTTCCAGAGCACCTGCCCAGCTGTTTGCTGAATGAGTAACTTTATTACTTTCTGTAAAAAAAAACAGCACTTCCTTTTAATTGCTCTAAAGCCATTAAAACGTCATTTGGAAACATCACGTGTGTTTCAAAGGTTGCCCCCTTGTCTATTGTAAATAAATCTGTTCTCACATTTACCACACTCTTCCCAATTTTATAGAGGGTGCGCATTTCCATCTCCACCTTCACCTTTCCAGGCTCAAGAACTCTGGTCCCTTCCAGCCCCTGCCCCCGCCCTTTGGGACAGACACTTTGTCCCTCTCCCTTGTGAACACATTGAAACTTCATGTACACAAAACAGGATACAGGTTCCAGTCCTCGTTTGATCCCTGGCATTTTTCTGGCATTTTGTGGTCTTTGTCCCCCTTGCAGCACATGGTGAATGTAGAATTCTAGACTGTCCCCGTATTCCCGGAGGCCCTTCCCTGAGCCACAGGCCTCCAGGACAGCTCCGCTCAGAAACTCCACAGTCACCCCAAGCTCAACAGTCCCAACTGGAGCCACTGTCATCCACCAAATAGTGGCTCCTGCCCTCCCAGTCAATACAGCCTGCTGGGCTGGCCGTCTTGTTGCCCCCACAGCCCACCATCAAGTGGAGCCTCCATTTCCAGGGGAGTTGGGTTCCCAGCTAAGCCCTCAATGTCCTCCTTCTAGGACGGCTCTCGGGGCCTCTCCGCAGGCCTCTCCGATGCTGCGTCCCCAGCCCTGCTCAGCCTACTGACGTTCCTCTGGTGTCTAAAAGTTTCAGCTCAGTTTCCCTGCTCCGGACACCCACAAGCACACCAGCACCACCGCGCTTTCTCCACCCAACCTCTCCCTCCACCTGGCACGTGGCCCTCACCTTCCAGGGCATTCCTATGCCCTAGCTCCCTGCGCAGTCGTGGAAATGTTTTTCCTGCCTTCTCAGGGTGGTCTTCCTTCACCCTACTGTCTGCTTGTCCAAACCCACATCAGTCCTTAGCCTGAACTAGCGTACCCAGAAGAGGGTGCAGACAGTAGGAAGGAAAGAAAGCTATAGATGCCGCCGGTGGTCTCTGACCTGACATCTGAACTGTTCCCCCAAGGACCCAGAATATAGGCCTGTTGGGCGGTGAGGGGACTAGAGAAGACTGAGGTCCTCCAGAAGGAGGGTGGACCCCCCACAAACCCAGTGTCAAAGGGCAGTCATGCTAATTATCAGCTGAGCGGACCCAGGCAAGTCACCCACCCTCTCTGAGCCCTCATTTCCTCTGTCCTGACTTCCTTACACAATTCTCCCCGTGAGAATCCTATCAGCTACACGCTGTGAAATGGCTTTATAAATGGCGCAGTCCTCAGTGGGTGGGGTACAGGGGTCACTGTCAGACCTTCCAGAGCCCTCCAGAAGGGCCCTGCTTGCCTGGCCTCACCCCCTCCTCTGCTCTCTGCACTGACCGTAGGTAGGTGTTTTCCTCACTCTTTTGCGCACTAACGGATTCACCTGTGTTATCTTTTCCGTGCGATTATAAGCACCTTAGAGACGGGGCCTTTGGCTGCTGGTGGCTGTCTCTAAGGCATGGCTGGACCCACAGAGCAATGCCTCCATCGTCAGCATCACCACCACCACTGTCCCCTCAGGTCACCTGGCTGGAGAGAGCTCCCAGGACCAGCAAGGCCAGGCCTGGCCAGCAGGGGTGGGGAGGGTCCCCCCTAACATCGATCCCCCCACTCACAGCTTCCTACTCTCAAGACATTTCCTTAAAGGGAATCTGTTATTGACGTACTCTCATAATGTCCCGAAACCCACACAGTTCGTCACTCCAGTCCTCACTCCTGTCCCGTCAGCTCCCCTTCGCATGTCTGGGCCAGGGGAGGAGGTCTCTCGGGGCAGGGAAGGCCAAGTTCCTGACTGGGTGGCTGAGCTTGCCTCTTGGGTTACCTCATGGGCACCCCACCAGGCTCCAGAGACCCCCACTCCAACTCCCCTGCCCCTCCCCAACCACCCCCTGGGCTCCAACTCAAGGTCTCCCTCTCCTACCACCCCTCACCCCTGCCCACCCCTTCCCTGGGGCTCCTCCATGCCTGAGGGGAATTGGCCTGTACCCGGTCACTTCCCAGACATGGCCACGAGAGGCTCGACAAGGACCCCAAGCCTGTGTCCCCTCCTTCAGACCCTCAGTCATTTCTAACTAGAGGGGCTCCCCCAGGTTGAGGGGCAAAGCTGACAGACATCCCGGGACTCCTCCCCGCCACTGGGACAGCAGCCTGTGCTGTGAGTGCTTCTGTGACCTGGGAAGACCTGGCCCTCGGATGCAGCCCCGAGGATGAGGGCAGGCAGAGACCACCGTCTATGTGATGAAAAGCCCCTTGTCCTCTGGGGGAGCCTGGGGAGCAGGAGGGGTGGATTTCAGTGGCCCCTCGCCCTGAGGCTGGAGCTGTGTGCGGGGCTGTGACCTGCACAACCACAGGCACCCGCAGGCCTCCAGAGTAACCCCTGTAGGACCCCAAAGGCAGGATGAGGTCACAGCACAATCTCCAGCCTTTTGGCAGCCACCTTCCTTGCAAAGGGAGGCAAGGAGGCCAGTCCCCCACCAGCCCCCCAGTGCCAGCCCAGGCGCACTCACTCTGTGCATGTGTTGTTGCAGGAAAGGTGGTGGCAGATACCCAGAGCCGGAGAGCCAGCAGCAGGATCCAGGTCACCAGCATCTCCCGGGAGGGGCCCTGGCAGCACCGTCTTCCCTCGTCAGGAGGGACGAAGAAGTGAGAGCCTCCCAAGAAGGGATCAGCTATAAAAAGGTACCCCGGAGACCTTTGCCTTGAAGAAGGACAGTGCCTGGCCCAGGGTGGCAGTGAGGTGATGGCATGAAGTGGGTGGTTTATGGTGACTACGGGGAGTGGTGACAAAGGACAGCCTGTGGACCTCCTCCCCTCTGACTGCTGGAGCACTGACTGCCCTGAGCCAGGGTCTCTTCAGCGGAAGCCAGAGCCACAGTGGGGCAGGGCCAGAGGGAGGGACAGAGGCCACAGGTGTGACAGTGAGCAATTGTTGCCAAGGGGCGGGGGCCAAGGACCGCCAGGGAGAGGGGGCCATGGAGGGAGGGGCAGTCAGCCAGAGGCCAGGGCACATGAAGGAACCTCACCCCTGCCCCACAGAAGCCTCTCTTTTGTCCAGCCTTTCTTCCCCACCACCCAGCCCAGAAGGCCCCTTCCAAATTTCCAGTGCTTTCCCCGGGGCCCAACCCCCAGCCCTTCTCCTAGGCGGGGTGCCTACTCACACCTGAGACTTTATGGTACTGGTCCCCACCTCTGGCCAGAAAGAGGTGAGGAAAGGCCATGGCCAGTCCCTGCCTAGGGCAAAGGTTGCAGGGGCCTCTCCCAAACCCCCACCCAAAGAGCCAAGGACACAAATTATTCCTGACCCTCCTTAGCTGGTCAGTTACCCACAGCGACCAGGAGGGCCCGCCCCAGAGCAGACAGGCCTTGCTGCGAGTGCATGCTTGCAATCAGGGCTTGGGGGGCTCAAGGTGTTTGGGGAGGCCCATCCTCACAGTAGGCCACTGGCTCGGGCAGCCCCACCTACCTCCCTGACCCAGCACCAAGGGTCCAATTCTTCCCAAAGCCCCAGCCCTAAGCTCCCAAGGGGCCCTGTACCCACCCACTCCCTAACAAAATGGTTCCCCCCAATCCTATGTTTCCCATGAGGACAGTCATGGCCCCCGAGGGCTGCTCACAGACCCCTCCCTCCTCCCTCACCCAGAAGTCCCTGTTCTCCAACTAGTAGGGTCCACTGGGGGTGAAAAGGAGAGAGAGAGAGAGAGCAGCTTCTTTTACAAAAAGTGCTATATTGTGTTCACATGGAGAATGGGGACTTGCCGACCTCTTGTTCCCAGAGCAGACCTTCCTGGCAAAGGAGGTTCAGGGCTTGGGGCTCAGAGGTTACTGCAGAGATGGGGGTGACACCAGGGAGAGGGGGGAGGAGGGGAAGGTGGAGGCGATGGGAAAAAGGCAGCGGTAGGCGAGAGAGGAGGGAGGGTTGAGGAAGGAGGAGGGAGGACTGAGGGGGCTTCCAGGGCTCAGGGCCCCACTTCCCCTCTCAGGGACCTGGGCAAACTCACGCCCTCCCCCCACCCACAGGGATCGAGGGCCCTTGGGGGTGAGGGGAAGGAGCAGAGCCTCACAATGGGGGCTGGGGCCTGGGGGAGTCCAAGACACAGAGAGTGTTGATACCTCACTAGGGATGGGTATGGGGAGGAGGGAGGATTTAGTGCTGGGGCTGAGGGAACAGGAAGGGGAAGGGGGCACTGACTAAGGAGTGGGCTCAGAAGGGTAGACAATGTAAGAAATAAGAGCAAGGAGTTAGGAGAGGGTGGGCCTGAGACCGGGCACAGGACATGAGGACTGGGGGAGCTGAGAGAGCCAATGGGAACATGGGGACCGGGGCAGAGAATTAATCGAGCAAGCCTATGTGGTTTTCACAATAACTAGGAGGTATCGAGACAAGCGTGTTGTACCCATTCTACAGGTGAGGAAACCGAGGCTGGGAGAAGTCACTGACTTGCCCAAAGCCCCACAGGGGAAGAGTCTGGGTGTGAACTGGGTCTCCAGGTGGGTTTTGGCTAAGTTGGGAGAAGGATGGAATTCAGGGGAACAGTCTCATTTTACCCAAGGACACCAGGAGTCTGGGCTGCGGAAGTCTTTGGGCCGGCTCTTGAAATGGACGCAGTGCAGATGGTTCCATCCTGGGCAGGGCTCACAATGAGGATGACGAGGTCACCTCAGGTCTCTGGATGTGCACCTGCCACAGAGTGGGAACAGGGAGCCACCAGCTTGGCGGGTAGGGCCACAACCTCCTGATCCTAGCCCAGCCCCTGCCCTGGTGGGGGTCAGGGAGAGAATCCGGAACTGGAGCCAGGAGAGCTCCTTAGGTCTCCCCTTAGCCCTCTCACCCCGATATTGGTGTCCACGTTCTCCAAGGCCACATGGAAGTTTTCATCCTTGACTAGAGAGAGAAAAGAGGAGCAGAGGGGAGGACAGGGAAGGGAGAGGGGTGGGGGAACGTGAGGAAGGCCAGGCCTCAGGGCCCAGGAGCCCGCTCCTACCCTCCTGACCTCCGCAGGAGGGGCGCGGGGGATGGGAAGCATGGACACAAACCCCCTAGCACGAGGAACTCGTCGGTTCTCGCAGTGCCCCAGGAAACCCCTACCCGCTTCCCCAAGAGGCAGGATTCACCTTTCTTGATGTCCTCGAAGCCCATGTTTGAAAAAGTACCCACGTTGTCCTCATCCCAGATCTCGAGCCACTTCCTGTCCTCCTCCCAGGACCTAGGTGGGGCCGCCGCGCGGTGAGACAGGGCCGCCCCGACTGAGACCCTTTGCCGCCCCGCGCCCCCCCGCGTGCTCACCTGCTGCGGCGGCCGCCCCTCCTACGGAAGCGCGCCAGCACGACGCCCAGCGCTAGCAGTAGCAGCAGCAGCAGCGCCGCGGCCCCCGCCAGGCCCCCGATCAGCGCCCTCCAGCGGATGGCGACCTCGCAGCGCGGGCCGGACAACCAGAGCTCGTCAGTGGAGAAGCACCTGGGGGCGCGCGCAGGCCTCAGAGCCTCAGCACCTCCCCGCTGGGTCCGAGCGCGGGGCGGGGCAAGGGGCCGAGGGCGGGGTTGTAGGCGGGGCTCCCGCGCAGGGGCGGGGCCTCACCGGCACGCGGGACCGCTCCTCTCCACGATGCACTGGCCCTGGTTGCAGTCGATGGCGCCGTCCGCGCCCGACGTGCATTTGGTGACACAGCGGAGCTGGTTCACCTCCACCAAGGGGAAGTAGAACTCCTCATAGCCCTTGGGTGCGGCGCGGCGGCAGATGGCTGGGGGTGGTGAGGGGGAGGAGGGTTGCAGAGAGACTGGGACCTCATCCATCCTACTTAGGGGCCTGAGAATGGCCACTCTGAAAACGCATGGGGAGGACTACATTTCCGAGAGTGAGTGTCGTGGGGTAGACCCTGGGATTAGATGAGAGGAAGGCCCTCATCCTCTCCTCACGGTCCCTGCGGGTCCTCCAGTGGAAACCGCTAGCGAGGGCCAGGAAGGACAGCCCTGGGCCACATCGCTTGCCTCCCCCAAAGGGGCTCCTCCCCACCCCCTGTCCCTGGTGGGAGGGGCTATGGCTGCCTGAGGCCACTCAGCCTTTTGCCACCCTCACCTTCCGGGGACAGCTCTGTCCTGGTGTTGTTGTTCACCTTGATGGAGTCAGGCTTAAAACACAGGGCTGTGGGGACAGGGACGCAGATGGGATGACCCGGTCTGGTAACAGGGCTAGGGCCAGGAAGCAGTACGGGGGTGGGGGACTGGAGGGCTCTCTCAGTGTGGGGGCTGTGGAGGCATCGCAGGGAAGACTCCTACTGCCCCCCTCATCTCCCCCAATCACAGGGGTCTGCATCCATCCTGGAAACGCTGTGCATAATTGTCAGGGGGTCTCTTTCTCAGCACCAAGTCCTGGTGAGACCCACTCTAGCCCAGCCTTGGCCCCCTTGTGTGTGGACCTGTGCCCCTTCTCCCAACCTGCCAGAGCTACCACGGGGCTGCGCCTGAGCCCGGAAGGCCCCTGACTGAGCTGGAGCCCCAGCCCGACCCTCCTTCCAGCTGTGCTCACTTTGTTTGCTGTGGCAGCTGTCCCCATCCTGGCTGGCATTCTGAAGCTGCTCTTTCAGGGCCGTTTTCACCTTCTCATACTCGCTGTCCAGCTGGGGGCTGAAGGACAGCTCCAGCAGGACCAGGTAGTCCACCACGATGCTGCCACTCCTGAGGGGTCAAGGGCCTTAGAGGGGGCCCAGGCCTGGGGCACATAGGTTCTTGGAGGGGCACCTCCAGGACCAACCACTAGGGCATGGGAAGGGGGCAAAGGTCATGAGGTGGGATGCCAGACACATCCTTTTCAGAAGGGGCTGCCAGCATCCCTGACTTGGTCGGCCTGGGAAGGCAGGGCAAGGAGTAATTGACTTTCACTTCGTGTTGCATCAAGCTGCCACCAACCAAGCCTCCCGGGCTGTCTGCCCCTCTCTCATGCTGACCCACCCAGCAGAGCAGAGGCCAGCCAGAGGGAGGCCACATCACCAGTCCAGACACCACCTCCCCACATGTCCCTACAACCTCTCTCCTTCCAGGGTGCTGAAGAGGAGGGTGCCACTCTCCCCCACCAGGGAGAAATGGGCCCAGAAAATGATCACAAAGCTACCCATGGAGTGATGCCCTTGCATACTCTCTCCACCCATCTCTACGAAATCTGACAATTCCAGAAGCAAGGGGTGGATTCTCTAGCCTCCTTTGCACGCCTTTCCCCCGCCTGACACTGCCTCCACATCCCCAGAAGAGTCTCCTACCTCAGAGACAGGATCTGCACATCCTTGAACCCCTGCACGTTTTGGTAAATCTTCTGCATCTGAAATGCCAAGGATCCCCTGGGCTTGTATCTGAACCTGCAGGCCTGAGGGCACCCAGGGGCCCAAGCCTACATCCAGGGGAGGACCCTTAAGTTCCCCTCCCCTTCTCCTCACCTGATTCCGGAAAGTGTTGCTGAAATCCCTATAGGCCTTAGAAGTGTTGTCATTGAGGTCCGGAGAGAACACCTGGTCGACAGACACCTCCATGCCCACTTCAGCGTCCACTTTGTCTGCACACAGCATGCACAGCCCTGGTCACTGCACATCTGCCCCTGTCTGATATCACCACCGCCACCATCCCGCCCCATGGGCAACTCCCACTGCCCCTTCCATGGTCCCTGAGGACTAACTACACAGCAGCAGGGACAGAAGAGGAATTCAGGGATGCATTGTCCGGGAATGAGGGAAAGAAGTCAGGATGGACTGCAGTCAGTATACAGTACACAGGACGTTCTGCAGTCAGGCTGCGGTCCTTCCCTGCCTGCCCCGTGGTGGGTAGAATAATGGCCTTCAAAGTTGTCTATGTCCTGGTCCCCCAAACCTGTGGATATGTGATACCGCACGTCAAGGGAGAATCAAGGAGGCAGATGGAATTAGCTTGCTAATCAGCTGACCTTAAAATGAGAAAATTAATGTCAACTATCTGAGTGGGCCCTTGTAAACACAAGGGTCCTTAGCAGTGGGAGAGAAAGGCCATTGGACATGAATACAGCTCCAAACAGCCCAGACCTCCTCCTCTAAGGAAGAGGCCCCAGGAGGGAGTGTGGTCCCAGTCGCCTCCTGAATGATGGAGAGGAGGCATGATATGAGGCAGTGGACAGCATGAGAGAGACGGCAGGAATGGAAGGATTAGGCAAAATGGCATGGATGCCTCCAGGCCACACAGCTGGACCCAGGGAGCATCGATGGCACCTCCAGGAGGAAGTGCAGAGGGCGTGGCTCTGGCAACTCACCTAGGTCTATCTGTTCCACAGCAAACTCACAGCGGGAACCATAGAAGGTGCTGGGGCACTGACACTTGAGGCCATCCCATGTACCCCCATTCTGGCACCTGATCTCCTGGAACTGACAGCGGTCCCCAGAGTACCCCGGGAGGCAAAGACACAGGCTTTGTTCCCAGATGCCACCATTGTCACAGGTGCCTGGGAAGCACAGGAAGAAAGGGAAGTTCAGGATAGAGCCTGACCCTGGTGACACAGGAATTTAGCAGGGGAGGGAGGAGAGGGGACAGGGAGGCAGGAGGTCCAACCTGGGATAGTGGTCAGCCTTGTCTGTGTGGTCGTCTGAGTAGTGGTTGAAGTTGTCTTGGGTGACGTAAGGGCGGTGGGAGTCTGGGTGGTAGGCACCGGTGTCGCTGAAGTCCTCGTGGTTGGTGGGGTGGGGTGTGTCAACTTGCTTGATGTCATCATGGCAGTTGGACTGTGTGGCTTCATGGTGAGACCAGGCATGCGTGGGGTGGTTGCCAAGCTGGTGCTCAGCCAGGTCTCACCGGTGGGCGTGTGGGTGCTCATCAAAACTGGGCTCATGGGAACGGTCCCTGTGCCATTAGTTGGGATGATGGTAGGCTCACTTTCCAGAGCCATGGGAATAGAAGTGCCCATGTTTGTAGGAAGGGCAGTTCTCATACTGGTGGAACTAGGAGAGGTGACCATTTCAGTAGTAAAGGGGAAGACGGATAACGGGGTGGTGAGAGGAGAAGTAACTTCACTGCTAGGACCCATTTCAACACACGGAGTTGTGGGAGAGGTAGGGACTAGGGTGATGGTTATAGTTTCTGGATAGGGTGTAGTGGAAGGAAGAGAAATATAAGAAAAGGGGGTTGTTTCAGTGGGAGCTGTGGTCACAGAGGAGATGGTAGGAGAAGTTCTGGTAGTTGCAGAGGAAGACAGAATAGGAAAAGCTGGGACAGAAGAAGAGCCTAGATTTTCTGTACTGGACACGTGTGGGGAGGAAGGAAGAGAGTGAAAGGTAGTGGTGAGCACTGTCCTTGTGCTGGTGGAGGACAGAGAAGAGGACATTATTATGGTGGGTATCGAAGAAAAGATGATCGTACTGAAAGACGTGGTTATTGCATTTGTAGATGTACTCATCCTGGTAAGAGATGCACTAGTGAACTCGCTTGTAGATGTGAGTGAAGTTTGCATGGAGGGGGTTGAAAGAGAAGTTTTCAGAGTGAACAAATGTGTACTTGCACTATGGACATGTGACGTTGACATGATGGTGCTGACATCGGTTGATGGAGTAATAGTGTGAACGGAGGACATGGAGGAATCTGTGCTTCCAAGGGCAAGAGTGGTGGGTGCCTGAGATGTCTGAGTCCCTATATTAGATGTCAATATGGGAGGTGTATGGCTTGACAGTGAGGTGTCAGGTGTGACTGCAATACTTGTTCTCCAAGTGGGCCTGGGGGCAGAGGTTGTGCTCACAAGGGATGTTGACTCTGTGTGCTGGACAGTGGGGGAAGATGGAATGGTATTTGTGTGGGTGGCTGATGTACTGAGACCAAGGGGTGTTGAAGTGAGTTCTCTAGTTGTAGTCAACAAATCAGTGGGCCCCACAGTGATGGTTGTCAGTGTTGGGGTAGGGATGTCTGAACTCAGAGCAGAAGGGGTCATGGTCGTGGAGGTGACCAGGGTGCCCGCAATAGTGGTAGGTGAGGTGATGGCACTGGTGGACGTGCTGACTGTGGTGTAGATGTTTGAGGAATTGAAGCTGGAAACACTGTGTGGGGTGGTGAGGGTGACTGTTGTTATCAACTCGGTGGCACCTGTCCTGGCTGTTTCTGTGGTTGGGGGAGAGGGAGAGGAGGCTATGACAGAAGTGAGACTGAAAGATGTACCTGTCATAGTGGTCGTAGAGGTGATGTCAGTCGTGGAGTATGTGACAAGGCTAGTGGGAAGGTTGGGGTAGGTGGTCTCAGATGTAGCTGTAGACCTACTGTTGGTAGTAGGGTGTATGGTCAGCAAGGTAGACAGAGGGGTGGTGAAGATCTCCGTGGTCCCACTGATGACAGGTTCTGTGCTTGGGACATGTGTAGAAGATGCAATCCTACTGGTGGGTGATGTTAAAACATTGGTGGTTGTGGGAGGAGAGCTGGTGGTTGTCCCTGAAGTCACTGTGTTTGTGAGAGTGGTTGAAAAAGTCACAGGGGGAGCAGAAGTAATATCCACCTTGAGAGATTCTGTGGAAACATCGGTGGTGGGAGTCAGCGAGGTTTTCCCAGTGGATGTGGCTCTGGGGCTGGTGAAGGTCGACGGGCCTGTCGCTGTGGGTGCCACAGTGGACGGAGGTGTTTCCATAGTTGTGGATGTTGTGAGTGTGTTGGTGGCAGCGAGTGTGGGAATGGATCCAGCTGTTGTGTGGGGTGTGTGGGTGGTTGCTGGAGTTGAGGAGACACTCTCTGTGGGAGTGGTGCTGCCAGTCGATGAAGAGGGGAATGCAGATGTGACTGGAATGCCTGTAGTGAGAGAACTTGTCGGAAAGTTCTCAGTACTTATGAGAGTAGTTCTCACAGTGGGAGTTGTGGTCGGGGTCGTGCTAACAAGGGATGTGACTTCTATATTCTGGACGGTTGGAGAAGATGGGATGACCTTTGTGAAGGTTGCTGAGGTACTGGGATGAGCGGGTGTTGAGGTGAGGTCTGTCAACGTAGTGAATGAACCTGTGATGCCCACAGATGAGGGGGTGATAGTTGTCAGTGTTGGGGTAGGCATGTCTGTACTCACAGCAGATGGGGTCACAGTTGTGGAAGTCACCAGGGTCCCCCCAGTACTGGGAGGTGAGGTGATGACAGTGGTGGACGTGCTGACTGTGGAGTAGATGTCTGAGGAAGGGAAGCTGGGTGTGCTGTGTGGGGTGGACAGAGTGACTGTTCTTACCAAGTCTGTGGTAGCAGTCTTGAGTGTCCCTGTGGTGTCAAGGGAAGGAGAGGAGGGTGTGAGAGGGGTCGGTGGGGATGATGTATCTGCCAAAGTGGTCAGATAGGTGATGTCAGTCGTGGAGTGTGTGACAGGGCTAGTGGGAAGGTTGGGGTAGGTGGTCTCAGATGCAGGTGTAGACCTGCTGTTGGTAGTAGGGTGTGTGGTCAGCAAGGTAGACAGAGGGGTGGTGAAGGTCTCCGTGGTCCCCCTGGTGACTGCTTCTGTGCTTGGAACCGGTGTAGAAGATGCAATCCTACTGGTGGGTGATGTTAAAACATTGGTGGTTGTGGGAGGAGAGCTGGTTGTCGTCCCTGAAACCACTGTGTTTGTGAGAGTGGTGGAAAAAGTGACAAAGGGAGCATAAGAAATATCTGTCTTGAGAGAATGCATGGAAACATCGGTGATGAGAGTCAGCGAGGTTTTCCCAGTGGATGTGGCTCTGGGACTGGTGAGGGTCGACGGGCCTGTCGCTGTGGGTGCCACAGTGGACGGAGGTGTTTCCATAGTTGTGGGTGTTGTGAGTGTGCCAGTGGTGGCGAGTGTGGGGATGGATCCAGCTGTTGTGTGGGGTGTGTGGATGGTGGCCAGAGTTGAGGAGACACTCTCCGTGGGAATGGTGCTGGCAGTCGATGAAGAGGGGAATGCAGATGTGGCTGGAATTCCTGTAGTGAGAGAACTTGCCGGAAAGTTCTCAGTACTTGTGAGAGTAGTTCTCACAGTGGGAGTTGTGGTCGGGGTTGTGCTAAGAAGCGATGTGGTTTCTGTATTCTGGATGGTTGGAGAAGATGGGATGATATTGGTGGTAGTTGCTGAGGTACTGGGAACAGTGGGTGTTGGGGTGCCGTCTGTCCTCGTAGTCAGTGAACCGGTGTTGCTCACAAATGTGGGGGTGACTGCTGGTGTTATTGTAGGGATCCTTGTGCCAGGAGTCTCTGTGGATTGGGTTGTGGATGTCTTCCGGGTACTCAAAGTGGTGGCAGGCGAGGTTAGGGCAGTGGAGGCTATGCGTGAAGATGGAGAAGACAGAAGCCCACTGCTGGGTATCTTTAAGGTGCCGGTTGTCGTTGGGGTAGAGCCGGTGGCTGTGTGAGAACTGGCACTGTTGGTGGGTGTGGTTGTTGAAATGATGGGGGAAGTAGACGTGCGTTCCGGGGTGAGAGTTTCCCGGGAAGCGTCACTCGTGGGTGTTGCAGGTGTTGTGAGTACCCTGGTGGAGGTGGTGGAATGGGTGGTGGCGGTCTCTGTTTTCAATGTACCGCTGGTGTTAGGAAATGAAGTTGGAATCGTGGCCATTCTGATCAGGGCGGTCCTGGTGGTGGGTGAGAATATGTTACCAGTTCCTGTTGTTAAGAAGGTTTTTGTAGTATCTAGAGAAGAGGTAGTGCCAGAGATGGGAGTAATTTCTGGGGTGTGGGACTTGGTTGTACGGACACTTGCAGGGGTCAGGGTCGTCCTTCCTGTGGTTCCAGTTGTAGAGGAGATCATGGTGTGGAGGGTTGTGTCCGTGGCTGTGACAGAGGAGGAGGGTGGGGCTGTGGCAGTGTTGGTGGTGGGCGAAGATGTCACGGCTGAGGTCACTTTCTCGGTGGTGGTAATAGGGGAAGTGCTGGTGACAGTTGTGGCTGGCCTCTGTGTCACGGGACTGGGGGTGTAAGAGCTGGTGAAGGACGCCTGGGTCACAGTCACACAGGTGGTGGTGGGGTAGGAGGTGGCGACTGTGAAACTCGTTGGATATACACACTCCGTGGTGGCTGCATAGACAAAGACGGTGGGTGGGGCAGTTTCAACCATGAAGACAAACTTGGACGGCGGGATTGTTGAGGTGTTGGAATCGATTGGAGATTTGATCAATGTTTCAGAAACGGGCTTATCATGAGGGTAGGTGGTGAGAGGGGTGGGTATGTTTTCCCTGTTGCCAGGAGCGGGAGAGGAGGGCTGGGGGGGACTGAGTGCAGCGGGGGCCGCGCCCGCCCCGGGGGGAAGCACATGGGAGGTGGCCGTGGCCGTGGATACAGTTCCTGTATTGGTGGTAGAACAGAGGAACGCGCTGGTGAATCTGCAGGCCATTTTGTCACACCACACCACACAGATTACCCACCCCCCCATGTTACAGACACATGTCACAGAGGGTGGGATGTGCCAGGCTCACGTCCCCACCCGAGGTAGTTTGGAGCCCACCTACTCGGTTCTGGAATCCACCTACTGCCTGTGTCTGCTCTCGGGGGGAGAGTGGGGGGAGCCCTCAGCCCCTCCCTGGCCTTGTCTGCATGGTAGCCCTCTTGTGCTCCCCTCCGTCTGCTCCTCCCTCTCCTCCCCCTGCTGCCTGGAGTCCTCCCCCTACCCCTGCCCTCTGCTGGGAGAGAGAGAACCCAGCCAAGTCCCCACCAGGAAACAAGCAGCCAGAGGGGGAAGCGGCCAGAGGGGGAAGCTGCGTAGAGAACACCAAAGGGGAAAAGAGACAGAGCTCAGCTTCCGCTGGGATTGAGGGACATGGACCGAGGACCACACTGAGAGGCTGAGAGATGGGACAGAGAAGGAAGCTTCCAGAAAGAGCTACATCAGCAGGCAGGCATGAGTCCCCAAGACCTTAAGGTTTAGTGGTGAGTGTTAATCACAAAAACAGACATTTTATATAACTATTCTGTTTCAGCCACTGGATTAATTAGTTTACTAACTTGAAC